GCCATCGCAAGTAGGTTGGAGGCCATCGCAATTAGGTTGGAGGCCATTGCTATTGGGTTGGAGGCTTCCTCCTTTACACCATCCCGCCCACCGGCCTTCACCAAGTCCGAGCTGTCCCAGCATCAGTGGCCAGGCGGCGCCCCGCAGCTCCGGCACATCGGCCGCCAAGAGTGCGTGGCCTCGGGACGAGGGCGGTCAGAGCCACCAGGGTCAGTGCCCTGCTACTGCTCTACCCAATGGTCCAAAAAAGGTAGGGCCACTCTACCCAACTCTACCCTACTGCTCAGGGCCACTCTACCATCACTCAGCCCTTCAGCTCTTAGGGTTACCCGAGCCAGTGAGGCGGACGAGCGCTCGAGCCACCAGCGCTCGAGTGAAACTGTGTGGCTCTGGTGGAGTGATCGATGGGAGTCCGAGCTGGAGATGGGAGAGTTGGGGAGATGGTAGAGCTGAAGATCCTGAAGAAACCATCAACTTGCAGGTGTCTCATCGCGCATGGTAGTGGGGCGTCAACGAAGCTTGTTGAGAAGGATCTTGATGGTCTGATTCTATCTGATGGATTTCTTGCTTGGCCCTTGCTTTTCTTCGGAAGAACAATCGTTTGCAGCAACCAGACTGATTCAGTTGTCTCAACATGAGGCAACTGCTTCGTCCACACGAGCTGAGGCCACGAGGACTGGGGGCGGCACCCAGAAGAACTGGGGGCACCCTTTTTGGTGTTTCTACTAGCAACGGCCTCCAACCCAATAGCGATGGCCTCGCCAGCTTGAGAATAGCTGTATGCCGTGCCTGGAGAACGTTTCTCACCCCCTCCCGGGTCGCGACATCGCTCCACTGGGCACCCAAACAGCTGACCAAAACAGCCTTCACCTTCACCTGCGCGGTGAAGCGGGGTTTTCTCACCGCGCCGGTCCCTCACCGGTCCCTCGGCGAAACCGCGACGGACCGGGACCACCTCCAGTTGAGAAACCGGGTAGGTCGTGGTCGTCTGTTGCGTCGGGATGCAGCCAGCTGGGCGATGATCAAGACATGGCAGAAATGGAAGAAAGACATTAGCAGAAAGGTCCCCAAATAGATAGTGGCACGGTTTCTAAGACATTTTTAGTGGGGATCTACAAACTTCTATCTACGTGGGGGTCTGTATATGCACAGCCAGGTGTCCCAATTTCACAACAGACCAAATCCGCCCGCTTCGGCTTCGGTGCTGGGGCTGTATCCGGATGGCATAGTCAATTGCAAGATTTCAGCTTTAGCTGGGGGGTGCCCTTAATCGGCCAAGAAACCTGAGTTTTTGCAGGTTGTTAGGTTGTTAGAACGCAACAACCGTCGAAAATAACAGCATTTGATGAAGGTGACATGCGCAAAATGTTTGAGGCCTTCTTGAACAAGTTTGAAAAAGAAAAAACAAGTTGACCTTTTTGAGATTTGGTCAAAAATAGCCACGTAGAACCAGCATTAACAAACATTCCTGTCAGCTCTAGCTAACTACAAGTTCATATTACCCAGGTAGAACCGATATATAATCTATGCATTTTTAAAATAGCACTCAGAACATCTTTTCAAAAGCAGTTTGAATCTAGCCACCACCAGTGCTTGCAACGATACGATCATGTCACAAATACCGCAACATGACCAATTCTCCCGGCGCCAGCGGACCCAGCCGCGTTACGCGGGTGCGAAGAGAGATCAAGAAAGGCACGGTCTTTGAAGGCATTTTGGGGGGGCCACGGCCACGAAGCAAAAGGAAAACGAGCTGATTCTCCTAAGAAGTCCCAAATCCGTCCACTCTTTTCAACACTTATTAGCTAGCAGCTAGCACAAGGGGTTGCCCCACACCAGACGCGACCGTGAGCCGTGCACCAGTGACCCGTTGCGCCTTGCGAGGGATGAACCTCGGGGTTTGTGGTGGGAGACGTACTGAACAACATCCTCGATGTCGACTCTGAGCACTAGGATCACTTCCGAAAGTCGAAGGAAGGTCGAACTTGGAACAAGAAGGAGCCCGGAGCCACACCTTTTGAGAGGCCACGGTGGTGGAAGCACCCCCTTTAAGTGCTTTAAAGGTGATTTTTGGTGTTGCTGAAAACGAACAGACGCAAGGCAAGGCCGGACACCTCGTGTCTCGACCTGACGAAGGTCTCGCGGGTCTTTCCCGTTCGTCTTCCCGTTCGTCAGGGAAGACGAATCCCCGTTTTGGTCGAGTCCCTTGAAGTGCAAACATGTAGATTCTTGGGACACCCAAGTTTTCAGGACCTTCCCGAACTCGGGTCATTGTACCTAGATCTTCCAACGGTGCTAGATGTCAGCCTTTTCATCCAGAAAACCAGCCAAAGGGCGGACTTCTTGCACAGTTGGAAGATCTATAGGTATATCATATGACTTATGACTATCTTCGAAAGAGTCCACTGGACTCCCACCCACCCACCTACCCACCCACCCTGTTCACAGCCCGTCCAAAATCCAAAAACCAGGGATGACAGACCCAGAAAAACCCAGGACCCTCCACCCGTCACTCCACCGAGACACACGCAGTCGCTTCGCAGGAGCCGCGCCTGTGAGCCAGCCGCGCCGTTCGTCTCTGGGGAACGGGGTTTCGATGCCCGCCACAGATGGATCGATGGGTTGATGAAGTTCCTTTTCCTTGTTCCAGGACCACGGAGATTGGGTAGTTTTCTATGGACACCCCTGACTAAGGTCTTTTCCGTCCAATCACCCCAATCACCGTGGTCTTATGACCAGCAGCTTGAACTTCATCCACTTTCCATGACGATGTTCAGAATTCCGCACTCCGTACCGGTCGGTCGTTTCGCTTCGGCGCGCGCGCGCGCGCGGCGGTCGCGCGGTTGAACCGGGTCGGACGACCAAATGGGTAACACGTCGTTTGACCGACCAGCGGGGATCATTGGATCTATCCCCATTCGCCTTCCGTCCGAGCATTTAAACCGGGAAGGACCTTAGTAAAACAAATGAATGTTCCGTCTCTCACTTGCGGACTGCGTCGCCCTTTTCAGTCACTCATCGGCTATCAGCCTCTTCGATCCGCTTTTGCCTCTGCTTGTGACAACAGCTTCACCAGTCAGGTGATTTTGATCACCATCGAAGTTCCAAACTTGGGGTCACCCTTCGTCAGAGCCGGAAAAGGGTCTCCTGGACTGAAAAGGTCGCACTCACCTATAGGCTCTGAGCATCTCTGAGCTCACTAGGTTGTTTTTTATTCACCTCAGTTGCAACCACTCACCTACTCACTCACCTCTAGTGTTCGCACTGGACTCTGCCGTTTTGGCTGTTTTGTCCGCATCGACAGCCGGCCTGGGCATCTCGGAGGATCGGCAAGATGCTCTCCTGGCGGCCGAGAAGACGCTGCCGGTGCGGAAGTCTTGAAGCGGAAGTGGTCTTCCTCCCTCCATCGTTGAGACCACTTCAAGCCAAACTGGATGAAGAGACGATGAGATTGATTTGATCAATGGATTTCACCAACTGATCAATGCCTGTAGTATGTACTGATCAATGCCTGTAGTATGTGTTTCGTCAAGAGTATTTAAAGAGTCAAGAACGTTCTCCTGGAGCATGGCTACGATCTACCAAAACGCCGTCCCGGTGGTCCACACCGTCCCACCAAACGAGGTCCCGGTGGTCGCTCTTTTGGAACGATGTGGCCCCACCCTCCTTTTCAAGAACACTTTCCTGGACTTCCAGAGATTTGCTTGGCAAATCCACGGACCTCGCGACCCATAACGCCCGACCGCGCCCGAAAAAAGAAACACGCCCAGCACCGCGCAGGACCCATGGGCCAGTCAATCCGACGGTCCAGGGTGAAAAAGGCACGGTCGTTCAGCGCGGGCGGCTCGGCGGTGCGCGGGGTTCGGGCGGAAAATTGGCATCGATACCACTGTGACATCACTGTGACATTTCGCTGTAGTCGCTGGACTACAGGTTTTGAAGCTTCACGCCTATCCCAAGAATCAAAAAGGTGGCCAGATTACCACCCGCGAGACCTGTCGCTGCAGACATGCTCGAGGTCAAGGTCGTGGTCGAAGTGGTACAGGTGTAGGCGTTTGGGTCCCCGGTGTAGTTTCCTTCGGAACCCACCAAGGGATCCCAAACACGCATGCTGCTCACAGGGACCCAGCAATTGCTCAGATTTCCCAGCCAATCTTTGAACTTCACTCCTGTGCGCGCGACACGCGGAACCAAAGAACGCAAGGAACTCAAGAAGACACACCAAGGGGTGAACGTAGTTACTGGAAGGAAGTGAATTCATGAATAAGCATATCCACCACGTCCTGACAAGCAATCCACCACATTAAGCTTCTGCGCGCACAAGTTGCAAGAGAAAGTCTGGTTTTGTCACAAGCCTTTTGTGGCACTGTGAAGCCAAAAGACTTTACCTGGCTGACAAACATACGCAAATAGCCAATGTAGAATCTTGTGTGGTTTTTTAAATAATGAGCCCCCCTCATTTGGATTGTGAAAAAGCTCTTATGGGGGGTTATGCATATCAACAGTCTACATTACAAAGTCTTCAGGATACAAGTTCTAAGAACCCTAAGACTCCGGGTCCGAAAAAACATGGGAAGGGTTTGGTGGCTGGGTCCAGAACTCCTTGCGTTCCGGTGTCGGGCCTCCGACCGCAGCCGTGGAGGGCACAAGGATTAACAGAAGACACAACCCCTTCCTCTCTGTCGCGTGAACCAAGGGTTTCATCAACGAAACGAGGCACATGAAAAGACCCCGTCGTTTCCTCCGTGACTCGTTTCATCCGCGACTCGAAAACCACCGGACTTCGGCAGTGGAAACGACCGACCAAGCCACCGTGGGAACTTGAATGGGCATCGCAGGTTCATGTGCCTTTTGGTGGTTCACTTGGACGGATCCGCTGGTTTAAGCAGCCCAACCCAGTGCATCCCAGTTACTATACAAGGAACCAGGGATTCGTTCGGTCTATGGTTTTAGTCTTTGGAACCACTGGGACTCCCAGCGACATCGTGGTTTGCCTGGATGCCCTGGGCAAGCAATGGAACAAAGGATTTACAAGGCCATCTCTTGGGACATCCCATCGCACCTCACACCACGTAGCTCAACGCTACCGACCCAGGTCAGTCCCCTTCTGCCGCTCCAAGAAGCGCGGTGGCAAAAAAAGAAAACGCTACACCCCACCACCACCAGCCAGTTCGGGTCTATCAAACACCCTGACAGGGTGGGGTGCTGGACTGTTCCAACATCTTCCAGGGTCCAGGTGTCTTGGAATTCTTCAGAGGTCCTTCCAGCTGCTTTCCCGACCATTTCCTGGAGCTCACCAAACCGTTCTCCCTCCGTCCTGCTTACCTGGTGAGTGTACCATGGAGACCCAGCAGTTACAGACCGGAGTTCGGGTGCCCTTTTTTGGTTCAAGACCTTCCGTCCTCACCATCCCGAACTCAGTGGTGCTGGGTGGGGGAGTTCTTCTGTTCAATCAAAGGTGGAGGTATCACTTTAGAACAGGCTTTTCTGAAGCAAAGCCCCAAGGAAACGCTGTTCTACGACTGCTGAACCCCGGCATGGGGGTTCTGTTTCTACGACTGAGCTCCTTGGTATTCCATGGTGAAGAGCTCGTTCCTTCGGTGGATGCCGTGCTCTGAGCCATTCACCAGATAGCTCCGCAGCAGCGTGGGAGGCAAACGCCGCTCCATGTCGTTCACCAAGGCAACCATCCTGGGATACCCCCCAGCTGGGCCGCTGGGAGAAGGGCCGCTGTGGTCGCGCCACGCATGTGGAAAAACAAGTCGTTGGAGTGCTCTCATCTGTTTGAAGCTGAGAAGCTGGTGATTTGCAGGGGTCTAGACTTCCACTTCCATGACTGTCTTTTCTAGGGAGTGTCCCCAGACCTGGAAGACGTCCCGCCTGGAAGACATGTCATGGACAGCCCCGAACTTGGAGTCCTTCGGGTCACCTCCCAGGTATGGCAGATTGACCTCCATCTCCCAACCCCTATTGGCAACTCAGCCGTTTCTGGACCTCTCCATCTCCCATCTCGCTTCTCCACCCCCCGGGTGCCTCGTGGTCCAGGTGCCGAGCTCTCCACCAAAGAGGCTCCAGTAAAGCAGCTGATCCGCATCCGCAGACCTCACGTGCTTGGGCGAGCGCGCGCTGCTCGGGTGCCGAGCAAACCGCGCGCGCGCCGTCGTGGGGTGGAGGCCAGGGCGCCTTTGTTTGGGGTTCGGTCTGGGTTTTGGTGCACCGAAACGGCCGACAAGAAGCACGCCAGCTGGGTGTCAGCGGAAATGGCTCTCCGTGTCGGTTCTGGTTCTGTGTTGTGAGTCAAAGATCCTCAGAAACAATTGGATTCGCCTGGCTTCGCATCAAAAGGCGAGTTTCTTATAGCTCAAAACCCGCAGTTCTTGTGTGGCGAGTGCCATCCAGTTTGACTGAGTTTGAACATCAAGCTTTGCACAGCATACTGAACTGCACTTTTCACAGCCCACCGTTTTGCGCCCAGCCCGTCGCCCCCAGCGCCTGGTGAAGATGCCGAAGGTCATTCGGCCCGCAAAGTGGTTCAAGGCCTCGCTGCTTCACTGGAAGTGGTCGCAAAGTGGAGAGAAGAACACCACTGGAGGGGGCGGGTGTTCTAAACCGCTCATCAAAGCACTCATTCGAGGCCTGGACAAAGACTCCTTTACTTGCAGAGATTCATCTTCAGAACGCTTTGCAAATTCGTAGCTAGGCCAGACAAACCAACATGGTACCAGAATTCTCACATTTATATAATATATTCAATCGTTGCTAGTCCCACAAAGCGCACAAAGCTCGAGGAGTATTGAGGACATGCACGGGGTAAGACCAGGCTACTAGCCTTAAATCAGCCGCAAAAGGGAGAAAGGCAAGCAAGAACATGTGGCTTGAAACAAGGCCATTCATAGCTTCTTTCGAACATGAACATGTTCCCTCCAGGGCTCTCGGGTGAAATCCAGGTCGCTCGTGCCAAAATCTGCCATCACCACCCCCATTGCCTCCACCATCAAGTCAACCAAGCTCCAGTTGGATCTGCGTATAGCCTAACAACAGCGCGGAGACTTGGTTGGAACCGTGTTGGAAGCGTGTTGCATTGCACACAGAGGCCCGAAGCTTTGCGTCGGATTCTGCCGAATTCGCATCAGTTCGATGGTTCGGCTGTCTGGAAACAGGTTCGGGCAGCTTCGGGTGCTGAACATGGCGGTTTGGCTCCACTGTCTTAGGCAAAAGCACCGTTCCTGGTGATGCTTCCTGATGCTAGCTGAGATGAGTGCATCTTTTTGCTGGATAGAACATGCTCAGGCTTAGCATGTGCGACATACATACCCTCACAAAGGATGCTCCGAGTCAATATCGCACTCAACCCAAACACCTCTGCCATCTCTCTGCCATCGCACTCGCACTCGCACCCACGCCACGCCACGCCTCCGCTGTCCAAAGGACAGACCAGCTGGGTGTGATGAAGTCATTGGTCGCATTCCAGGTGTCGTCCACACTCCTGGGTCACTCGGCGCTCGGCGCCGTGAAGGACGGCGTTGGGAGAGTTGGGATCCAAGTCAACAGAGGAGCCCAAAACGTCCGCGGGCTGTGCTCACCTTGTTTTTTTGCATGGCCCTGGTATACGAACAGAGTCCGACAAAGTCTTTCAACTGTTCGCCAGCCCAGCAGGAACATTCGAAGGATCTGAACACATCACCTCGTGGCCACCTGAACTGCGGGCACCAGCCCAGCCTAAAGGGATGAAAGCGAACGAAGAGTGTGACTCAGTGCATCATCCGCGAATCTTCCAACTCTTCCATCTTCAACTGCCAAACACCAGGCGAACTCATTGAAAACCTGGCTAACTCGTTGATCCAGGAAAGCCCAACCAGGAATCCAAAGATGCCAGGTTCAACGAGTCACGGCATCCAATGACCCACCGTGTCTCGCGACGACGTAAACGCCGACCGAAACGAAGGACCGCATGGCCACCGATCATCTACTGCCACGAATGAGGTCCAAGCAACGGCAGCACAGCGGTGCACACATCACTGGGGCAAAGCAAGTGAAGGGCGGAATCCTTACAACGCGAGCTTGTGACATCTGCAGCGGGGAAAAGCAATTGCACGCGGTTCAGTTGCGCGCGCAGCCCTGGCCCCTGCGGTTCGGGAAACGCGGGGGGGAATTTGGTCTCAACGCGTTCAACCGTTAGCCTAGAAGTCCAAAATCTATATGTTCACCGGCTGAAGTAAAGGAAGTTCACTAGGAAGTTCCCTTTCAGGTCCCTTATTGACTCCCAGGGGTTATGTTTGGCTCAGCAACCTCTCCCATGGGGCATCCGTGGATGTTGCTGACTTGGTCGGACTGGTCCTTGACAAACATGGGGTTTGCTTGTATCAAACCGACAAAGGGAACCGTCACGTAAGTATAGTTAGTCCAGTGTGTACCAGCACGACCCTGTCGGTGTGTTTGATAGACCCCCCTCACGTTGTATTTTCCACCCGAACTGGGTGGTGGTGGTGGTGGCGGTGGCGGTGGTGGTGGTATAAGGCTCTTACAGTACGCCTCAAAATTGGCCCCCCTTGAGGGCATCAAGCACAACGGTCCAACCGAGATTCAAATGAACAGCAGGTCGACAGGAACCGCTTCAAAAAACCGACCCAAGTCCATTCCAACTCAGTAAAGCCTGGTGTCTGAAATCCCTCCTGTTTCG